GGCAGCTGGTCAATTATTTCCTCTCATCATTGATGTTTCTCTCTCTCTCTCCCTCTCCCTTCCTCTCTGAAATCGATTTTAAAAAACTATTTTTTAAAAAGCCAATCTTAAAAAACAGTATACTGACGGTGATGATAGACACACAAACCACAAGTGATGAACTTGTACAGCATTTAACACACACACACACACACACACACACATTGTCCCTCGATTGCCGTGACAGAATACCACAGACTGGGTCGCATATAGAAACCCCAGAAATGTACCTCTCACAGCTCTGGAGGCTGGAAGTCCAAGGTCGGGGTGCTGGCAGATGTGGTGTCTGTTGAGGGCCCACTCCTGGTTCACAGATGTGTCTTCTCGCTGTCCCCTCTTGGGGGAACTATAGAGGGTGCTCTGGAGTCTCTTCCAGAGAACAATGGTCCATCCCTGAGGGCCAGCCTCACGGCCTGACCACCTCCCAAAGGCCCCACGTTTGTGGGAGAAACTGGCTCAGGCCACGCTCCAGCTGTCACGCACGGGAACGACACACTGGCCCTCCTGAGGAGCTGCGTCCCCTGCATGGAGCAGGCCGAGCTCAGCGAAACCCCAGGTCCCCCATCCTCCCTTTTCCCTGGGAAGCGTGCTGGGCCAGGCTCTCTGGGAAGGCACAGGTGGGTCCAGGCCCCGTGGGAGAAACTTGCCCCTGGGGGTCTCCCTTTTCCTGGAGCAGCTGTGGGAAGCAGACCCGTCAATGGGGAGAGGCGGTATGGGTGCGGAGTGCCACACATCAGGTGCCCGTGGGAGTGGCAGCATCTGCCCCTGGGATGGTGGGGCTCCAGGAGGGGGAGTCTCCGCTCTGTGGGGAGCAGGGGCAGGTGGGAGGGCTGGTCCAGCCAGCTGTGTCCAGGCAGCTCAGGGCCACATCTGGTAACTGCGCTGTCTGCATCACCACACAAGTATGGCCATCCGGTCCTGCCATTGCAAAGCAGGACCCCCGGACGCTGCTGCACTCGAACGAGAATATTATAAATACTGAGGAGGCGGCAGCCAGGGGCCCAGCCATCTCCCCTTTCTGCCAGCATCTCTCTCTGTGTGTGTTTTAATCCTTTTTATTGATTTCAGAGAGGGAGAGGGAGAGAGAGAAACATCAATGATGAGAGTGAATCATTGATCATCTGTCTCCTGCACGCCCCACAGTGGGGATCGAGCCTGATTGTGGCCTGATCAGGAATGGAACCGTGATCTCCTGGTTCAGAGGTGGATGGATGCTCAACCGCTGAGACACGATGGCTGGGCCCGGCGTCTGTTTTCAATGCAGTGAAAGCACTGTTTGCAGGTGGGTGTGTCCCTCGGCTGTTGGTGGAGCCAAGCACAGTGTGGCAATCTGGCTTCTCCCAGAAGCACAGGGGATGGATGAACCAAGAGTGACGGACAGCACCCACTACCGCCACTGCCCAGGGGTGGTCTGGAAGGCCGGCTGTGTGCAGGGCCTGCAGGCCTGGCGCAAACAAGAAGCTCAGTTTGCTGTTAAAAGAATGGACCCTTCCCTGGCCAGATGAACCGTTACCTGATGCTACCAAATCTATGACTCAGGGGTGTAAGACGTCTCAGAGTTCAAATCCTTAGAAGACTGAGAGACAGGTCAGGTGGTACATAACTTTACAATGACCATCCCTCAAATCGCAATATGTCATTGTTAATCCTCATCCAAGGATATTCCTTCCATTGATTTTTAGAGAGAATGGAAGGAAGGGAGGGAGGGAGGAAGGGGGGGGGGAAGAGAGAAACATTGATGTGTGCTGTGGAGGTCGATGCTCTAACCACTGAATCACACCAGCCAGAGTGGATATGTAATTTAATATTTGACCAACGAGGGATTGTTGCAGACCACCAGCCCAAAAAATGCCTGGAGGAAGGTTTCCCCTCTCTGGCTCCGCATCTTTTTTTGTGTCTGCTCTCTAATCTAAGCTTTGCAAGAAAAGCTACCTGCATCTTCTTTGTTCACCTTTTTTAACCCCTGGGAAAACCTGTGAGACCTCACAGAGCATTTCAAGTAATCCAAACGTTTTCCGGTTCCAGGCTGCAGAGAAATCAAACTGCCATCGGCAGCCAGAAAACAACTGTTCTCCAAATATGTCAAATGCATCACCCCTTGGGAACAGGCGGTTTGAGAGAGGGCCAGCGATGGAAAACACAGGTCACAGCACCTTTTATTGTTTATTAGACAAACGGATGGGACACGAAACACACCAACTTCTCCGAACAGTCGTAGTGAGCTTCAAAACCAAGGGCAACGTCCGGACAGCGCCCCCGGGTGGGCAGCGTGGGCCTCACGCCTTCGGGTGCGGTAGCTGGGGAAACACGCGTGCGGTCCGTGATGTGCCTCCCAAGCCCGGGTTCTCCAGAGCGGATTCCTGTGGGGCACAGAGGGGACGCCGGCAGAGAGCACGTCCTGGGGTTCAGCCGGTCCGGGGGCTCAATCCCTTCCTGCCACAGAGCTCGGAAGCCAGGTGTCCAAATTGGGATCCATCGCGCCATCTTGTGACCCAGAGGACACCACGTTACAAATCCAGAGGCCCCAATAAATGTTCATGATTTATTAATTTAGAACGACCGGGTTGGATTCACGGAGCCTGGTGGCCACGAGGGCTGGGGCTCATTTGCTTCTGTGGCTACCGCTGTGCAACTGGGACCAGTTAACAATGAAACGTTCCTGCTAGTGAAAGTGACACAGGCACAGAACAACCTACAGCCAACGACGTAGGGCTGAGCAGAACTTGGGGTTCTGGCCCCCCAGCTTCTTCCATGCGCACTCAGAGCAGCTGTCTGAAGACACCTGACCCCGTCCCCCTCAGACAGCGGCCCTATGAAGACCACGTCCATCCACAGGAAACTCAGGACTCCACCTCATTTTTGTTTGGAGTTCCCAGTTATCAGAACAAGAAGTGTTGTTATCTGCCCATCACTGAAGTGGACAGCAGTAGGACACCGGGCCGCACAACCTGCATTAGGCTCTTTAAGAACATCCGGTGCATTCTTACTCTAGGCACAAACACAATTTCTTTAAAAAAATAAAACTGTGATTTAAAAGGCCTTTGCTTCACAAGGAAGAGGAATAAACAGGAAATGCTAGCAGATGTTTGATCGTGTCTGTGTTTTTTTCGTTTGCCCTTTATACTCTGCAAATGCAAAAAGGAGTTGTCAGTGTGTCGGTGATTCTTAAAAAATCTCTTAGGAACCCTGGCATTGTGGGCAATCCCATGGGTACATTTGGAGAATGGAGACAATATTTTAGAAAATCTATCACCCCTCTCCCAAGTTCCTTTGATGGAACTATTATGTAAAAAGCAGGTAATTATATACATAAATAACATAAAAATAATTATCATAAATTAAAAAGTCACACAATCTCCCACAATGACTTCAACCACCAGAGGCGAGAGCAGGGAGTGTCTGAATGAGCTGATGGAGGAGGGGGCTCTGCAGGCATCTCCTCAGTTCATGGAGGCGGGTATTGCACAGAACAGACGCCAGCCCCGCCCTCAGACTCTCGCCACTCGGAACAGGTGAGGTGCTGAGAAAATTCATTTTGCGCAACAAATGGTCCTCAGCCTCACCGGCAGCGTCATTCAGCCACTGCCGCCTCCTATTCAGTCTTTCTTCACGAGGGTCTCCCAAATCAATCAGGGTCTGGGACAGAGCGAGCAAGGACAAATAAGGCAAATGTATCCTTTCATTGTGGATGGCGTTAAAAAGACCAGGAGAGTAAAAATCAAATTTCATTCTGTTTTGCTGGCGGAGCAGCCAGAGGGCAGGCTGCTGTGGGCTCAGCCTCGCCCACCACCAGGATGTAATGGTGTCCCAGAAAGCAGACCCGGCTGCTACTCAGCACGTTCTTGATCCCATCAGTGGCTCTGCTGCTGAGCTAACCTCTGCTCTCCTTACTGCCTGCCGGGAAACGGCAGGATCACTGTGTTTTAGAGAAACCCAATGCTTTCCAAGCTTATCCCACATTTGTACAGAAAATTGATCTTGAAAATTGATCATCAACCTTTGGAATTTTAAACAGAAGAAAACACATGAATTTCCTCCCTGTTCTCCAGTTCAGGGAGTTTTGGCTGCGCCTCAGTCATGATAAACACACGTGGTGGCAGGGAAGCCATACCCACAGGTGCCACCGGCAGGGGCAGCACGAGGCTTCCTTGTTGCCCACACTGCATGCCCCTGTGCACGGGGCAGCTGTGCAGCCTGGACATGGACCGACCGTCCTACAGTGCAAATGACTTCGCATGTTAAATAAAAACAGAGGAACATGGCCGCAGCGGAGTCTCGAACACATAATCTATGCTTGAAAGGAAGTAAAAAAGAAAAAAAATGATCCTAAAAACCAATTAAATTACAAAGAGGCCTTTCTGCCCGAGTCAGCGACCTCATGACCTCCGTCCGGGACGACCCTGAAGCCAGAGGAGTCCCGTGCTCTCACAGCCATCTTCTCACACGTGGTTCAGCCCAAAGCCTGCGGACTGAAAGGTCCCAGGTTCGATTCCGGGACACAAATTCCACTCAGCTCAGATTTCAAAGCAGAGACTCAGCGTTACCTTAACTTCGACTTGCTCACTCACAAAAACTCCCCCGAAGCCAGGAGAAATAAAACAAACCACTTATGCTCCTAGTAACACAGGGCTGCCTCCTGGATCCTGCTTCTCCGGAAGTGTTCTCTCTGGAGCAGTGCCCACCAGACCCACCTCTCCTGGGGAAGGCTGGGGGCGTGGCCACAGCCCAGCCAGCTGTCCGGTTGAGGCAGCGCCTGCCACCTGCTTGGGTCTACAGCCGCCTGCTGCAGCCAAGCTGGAGTACCGTGATGGCTGCTGGGGGATTTGGAGACGATTCTGCAAAAGCTAAGTCAACCTTACTTGCATTGCAACGGGTGATTCCTTTTCCTGTTTGGTATCCAGCAAACAAATCTCAGCAATACACGGGGAAGCCTATCCGAGGCCCCCCTGCCGCCCGGCGCCTCAGTAGCTGTACATCTGCTGCTGCTGCTCAGCTGGCACCTGGGGCTGTGCCGCGGGCGGGGGGGCAGCCTGGGGCTGCGGGGCCGGCAGCACGTCCGTCTGGGGCACCGCCCGCCACGTGAGTGGGTGCTGCTCACCGAGCTGGTTCCCCAGCGGCGTGATGGAGTTGACCAGCGTGGTCAGGTTGATGAAGTGGGCCACGGACTGCGGGTTCGAGGTTTCCGGCTGCGGGTGCAGCTGGATGTCGTTCTGGCGGTTGTGCAGCATGGCGGAGCCACTGACGGTGTCAAAGGTCACGGTCAGGATCGAGTTGTCCAGCTGCAGCTGCCGTTCCGGGGTGGTGAGGTGCCCGACGGCCACCGGCTGCAGGTTGGTAAACTGAGTCCCCGCTGCCGTGGTGATGGGCGTCACGGTGATGTTGGTCAAGCCGACCGAGCTCGATGGAGTGGTCACGTTCGGGTCTCCCAGAGTCACCACCACCTGGAAGAGCCAACATAAGCGTGAGTTCCACTGAAACCGGTTTGGCTCAGTGGACAGAGTGTCAGCCTGCGGACTGAAAGGTCCCAGGTTCGATTCTGGTCAAGGGCATGTACCTTGGTTGCAGGCACATCCCCAGTAGGGGGTGTGCAGGAGGCAGCTGATCAATGTTTCTCTCTCATCAATGAGGAGTGAGAATTAACAGTTGGCTGCCTCTTGCACACCCCCTATGGGGGACATGCCTGCAACCAAGGTACATCTCCCATTGATGTTTCTAACTCTCTATCCCTCTCTCTTCCTCTCTGTAAAAAAATCAATAAAATATATAAAAAGAGTGAGTTCCTGCATGGGGACGACACAGGTCCCTCTGCGCTGTGACCGGGGCGGCTCAGCAAGCCGGAATAAGCACCGCCCACAGGAGAGAGCGAAGCACTTTCGGGTGGAAGATGAAATCAGGTTAGTTTTGTCCTGACACAGTAACTCTGGTGAAAGGGAGAAAAAGACACAGCCACAAGCACTGAGGCCACCGGGTTGAACTGAGAAGCAAAGGACTCTGGGGGCTAGAAAACGGGGAGGAAAGTAACAACGAGAAAGACGGGACCCTGTGTATTCCCTCTGAAGGGCGTGGCGGGCAGTGAGAAGCCGGCTAGGAAGCTAACGGGGCAGCAAACGAGCCTGCAGGAGCAACAGCTGACAGACGGCAAGACAGCACTTCCTGTCGGGGCAGAGGACGGGAGACCAGGTAAGCGTGTCCGCGCAGCACCAGGCACACTGACGAGAGGTTTGGGGCCTCAGACCAAAGCGGGGGAGGATGGCGAAGGGGGAGATTCTATTTCAGGCAGCAGATGGCTGGCCGCCTGCGTCCTCCCGCCTCCAAGCCCCTCTGACGGCTCCTCCGGTTTGCAGGGTCCGCTCTCCCTGACGGGCTGGCAGGGGCACTGGGTCATTCCACAGTGAAGAGACACTCTAACTCCTGATGCCCAGCCAGGGGAGCGGCTCCCCTGCCATCCAGTGTCCTGCTGCCACTCACAGTGAATGACAAGTGTGACTTCTCGGTCTACGCTGGGAGGCGCTGAGGTGGGTGAGTGCTTAGGTGAAAATGGCCACACAGGCATGACAGATGGGAGGGGGGCGGGTACATGTGGACCCCACCCGCCTCAATCTCCTTCACCTCCCCTCCCCCCGCCCCTGGCACCCAGGGCAGCTGACCCCCCACCCCCATCCCCACCCCCACCCCGCACAGTGACTGGGCCCCAGCTCAGCGCAGGAAGCGGCCACCTGCTGGATGCTCTGCACGGCAGAGTCGGTCTCGTCGCCCACGCCGCCTGTGAACGCGGGCTCCTTCTCCGAGAACTCGCTGAAGGCCGCGTCCTCTGGCACCGGAGCCCCTGCCGCTTCCTCCTCCGGCTTCTGCTTCCTCTTGTGGCTTCTCCTGGCGGCTTTCACGGGCTTCCCTTCTGCCAGATCCTCCTGCTCCAGGCTCAGCTCCGGCTGCGGGAGAAGACGTTTCAGCAGCTCGCAGGCCAATGGGTTGTGAGCCCAGGCGGCCAGTGTGGTCCAGGTCACACCCAGGGTCATACCCAGGGTCAGCCCTGAGGCTCTCGGGCCTTCAGCTGCTGCAGGAAATGCAGTTTATCTGATCACTTGCATTTCTAAAGATCGAGGCAGGTTCCAGGGATTTGTGTTAAGTGGAGGAAATTACATACAAGTCCCATTTTAAAAAGCTACATTTTGGGGTGAAATATAAACAAAAATATAAAAAACAAAATTTGTAAGCCACTGTTTCAGTCCTGATGCGCTCGGCCTGAAGCTAAAATGTTTCCACATCAGGTTCTCACCTCCAGAATGTCTTGGATCAAAACGGGTTTGACCACAGGAACAAGAAGGTCATCTCCTTGGGGGACAGCAAACGGGCCCAGCCATCACAGAGACCCAGATGGTGCCCTACATGCTTTTCTGGGAGCTGGTGCGCCACGGCCTGTCACTGAGGCCCCTGGGCAGGGTGTCCAGCCAGGAACTCCACTCCGGTCCTCCACTCTCCCGGACCTCCCTTTGGGGCCCTCCCGTGAGGCTTGGTCCGGTCCAGTGGCAGAGGGAGCCAGAAGAAGTCTGTCAGGCATGGTCACGTGGGACTGCCCTCATGGTGGGTGGTGGGGCGGGGGGGGAGGGTCTCAGGGGCACTACAGGCATTGTCACGCTCACTCAGTACAGCCTGGCACCTGAGCTCAAAACACCATTTCAAAAAGAAAGAGGTAGAAATATGACTTCGAAACAGCTCAAGAGTGTGACATGTTTTCTTTATAATAAAAGAAATTTTTATAAAGGCATTGCCCAGCCGAAACCGGTTTGGCTCAATGGATACAGCGTCAGCTTGAGGACTGAAAGGTCCCGGGTTCGATTCCGGTCAAGGGCATGTACCTTGGTTGCGGGCATATCCCCAGTAGGGGGTGTGCAAGGGGCAGCTGATCGATGACACTCTCTCATCGATGTTTCTAACTCTCTATCCCTCTCTCTTCCTCTCTGTACAAAATCAATAAAATATATTTTAAAAAAAAAAAGGCATTGCCCAAAAACTCCTTTAAAAGGTAGGTTCATCTACATGGAAAGTGAACTTTCGTCTAGAACCTAAACTACCTGTGATGGTTAATATTAATGCCCACTTGGCTGCAGCAGGGGGCCAACTGTTTGGTCAAACAGTCCAGACGCTGCTATTCTTTAGACGACACTGACATTAAGTCAGTGGACACGGAGTAAAGCAGACTGCCCTCTGTTGTGGGCTTCATCCAATCAGGCGATGGCCCCGGGAGAGAAGACTGAGGGCCCAGCAGGGAAAGGGAATTCTGCCTCCATGGGCCTGCAGACGTGAGCTGCAACATCCACCCTGCCCTGGGTCTCCTCTGCCCTCCACCTGAGATTCCAAACTCATCAGCCTCCACCGTCACTCCTTACAGTTCTAGAAACTTACAGAAACGAAAAGGCTCTTGGAGAGAAGACTGACCAAAACGATGGAGCACGAAACAAAGGTGAGACGCAAAGCATGGACTACGGGGCTTCCCAAAATGCTCCCGACACCTGCGGGGGTTCCGGAGGCCCCGCCCTGAGGGTGTCCGCGTGTCCGGGAGCCCCCATGCCCCGCCCTGCGGGAGGCGCTGAGCTCACCTGCACGATGCCGATGGAGGAGGCGTCGATGGTGGTGGTCTCCGGCAGGTGGTCCAGGTCGTCGATCCTCACGGCCAGCACCTGCGGGAGAGCCGGAGCAGTGAGCGGATGACACAAGTTCGCCCTCTGGTCCTCAATGCCACTCTGTGACCGCACCCACCACCACCTGGACACTCCCGCTCTGCACCTTTCTTAGCCACTCAAAGGGAAGACCGGGGCACGGGCCCGGCTTCTCCTTTCCCCTTGCTGTAATCCCAGTGAAAATGAACCTGGAACCTTAGCAACAACAAGCAAGGCTCTTCCCTCTGGTCATTCAGGGCCTCCCTCCCACAGGCAGGCACTGCCATGCAGAGGGAATGAGACCCCCCCGGCCTGGAGGACTTCTGGGTCTGCAAAGGGGCAGACCCATGAGCCAGGGTGGTGGGGTCTCCGGTCAAAAGGAGCTTGCCCCAGGTGGAGGGCAGAGGGACCAGGCCGGTGGGGGTGGGGTCGGGGTGGGGGCAGGGAGGCGGATGCTCACCTCTGGGTGCTTGCGTCGCATGTGTCTGCTCATGGAGGCCCTGGTGGACACCTTGGTCCCGCACAGCTGGCAGCTCTGTGCCTCGACCTTGTCATGCGTGAGCTGCACATGCTTCTGCAGCATGTACTCGGTGACGTATTTCTTGTCACACACGGAGCAGGTCCACTGCTTGCCCACTACACACACACACACACACACACACACACACACACGGAGGAAAAGACAAGCACAGGTCATGAGCGAGGCTGGCCCCCAGCCTGCAGGGTAGGCAGGAGGCCGCTTCACCCCCTGCGTGTGCTGCTGGGACCGTCCCAGGTCAGGTCAGAGGGACCAGCACAGCCTGAGCGAGTAGGACAGTGGCCTCCTCCCGTGCTGAGCGTGGAGCCCCGTCATCGCTCCAATAACTGAAACTTTAAGAGTAGATATCTGAAAGCTGTACTGGGCTGATTTTTAGGAGGCAATGGGCCACCACTGAGGCATACGGCACCCAATACTCTAAAACAGCCTGCAATACAGGGTCACACGGCTGTCCCCGCCCTCCGCCCCCTGTCCCTCCCACCCCCCAGGCAGCAGCACCCTGCTTACCCGTGTGAATGAGCTTGTGGGTCTCCATGGTGTTTCTCTCACTGAAGGTCTTTCCACACAATTCACACATGAAGTCTTTAATCCCTGCAGAAAAAGATATACTTGCTGAAATCGGTTTGGCTCAGTGCATAGAGTGTCTGCTCGAGGACTGAAAGGTCCCAGGTTCAATTCCGGTCAAGGGCATGTACCTGGGTTGTGGGCACATCCCCAGTGGGGGGTGTGCAGGAGGCAGCTGATCGATGTTTCTCTCCCATCGATGTTTCTAGCTCTCTATCCCTCTCCCTTCCTCTTTGTAAAATCTCAATAAAATGTTAAAAAAAAAAAAAAAGGCACACTTAACTCAGAGGTTTGTCATGCTCTACCTACAGGCAGCGGGAGGCTTGTCCCTGACACAGGTCAGTACTCGGAGGCTGCGGGGAAGGCAGGTTGCCAGAGGCAGAGCAAACGTTTGCTGGTAGGCACCGAGCTGAGGCTTGGGAACTCTGCCCTCTGCAGGTGGCTTCATAAGGTGCTTCCTCAGGAGGGGGGCAAGTCATTCAGTCCAGGGCCCGGAGTGCCAGTCATTCCGAGTGAGCGGAATCTGACTCAATGAGCTTTATTCTGCACTAGCTCGTGCCAAGGGAAGGCAGACACCACACTTACAAAACAGGGGGTCACATTACCCCAGTGCCCTCCCTGACTGTCTGTCTGGGGCGAGCATCCTGCTTGCCTGCAACCTGGGAAGCAAGCATCGGGTGAGGAAAACAGATGTACTCCCCAAACTGGCAAGAATGTGGAGGGAGATAGCCTCTAAAACAAAGGTTCCTCCAAAATGGAACACGACACGTGAGCTGAAGGGCCCGCCGGCTGGGGCCTGAGTACATACGGAGCCCCCAGAGGCACAGGGCCTGGGCCCACCGTGGCTGAAGGAGGGGCCGCAGGGGCAGAGGCCGCCGCCCGCTGGCAGTGGGCGTGCAGCAGGGGGAGCGAGAGGCTGGCGGCAGAGCAGGGTTGGGGAGCGGTAGAGCATGGCAGCACCAGAGGGGGCCGGGACGCAGGCCCGGGGGAGCAGGAAAGCTCCTCGGAGAAGGTGAGGCAGGTAACGGGCGAGCTTCCCAGGAAGACACGGGCAGCACACGCTGTCCAACGCGTGATGGGACCCGAGCAGACCTCATGGTGGCCTGGACAGGTAGCTGAGGCTCACGGTAAGCTGGGCCAGGCAGTGGAGAACCCAAGGGAAGACAGGGAACCACAGTAAATAGGCTTCAATGTTGACTCAGACAAATCCCACCAGGACAAGCTTCCTTCTGCTCTGGTGTTTACCTGAACCCCCCACCCACCTCACGGACCACATGTCAATGTTTACACACAGTGGGCTCACACTGGTGTGGCAGAGGCTGCTTTCCTTCTGTGCGAATCTCACCGCTTTTGATGGCTGCCTCCTTCATGGCCGCACAACTGAGCCACTGCCCGCCGATGGACACTTAAGATGGCCCAGATCTGAGGTCAGCCTGCACACACCTCAGGGGCCCTGCCTGATCCCTTCCTGGCACACATTCCCACAGGGAATGGCTGAGCCGGCCAAGGGCTCTGCAGAACTGGCAAGTGTCGCCAAACTCCCGGGCGAGTCTGGCAGCGCCTGGACTCCTGTGCGCACGCGCAGTGACACGCACCAGGGCGCCTGCCGGGCCGGGTGCCTCCCAGATGCCCGCGGCTTCCCCGCGCCTCCCAGAGCAGAGCTCGCTCGGACCGGCCGTTGGGAGCTAAGGAAGGTGAGAAGCAGCCAGCGAGGCGCTCTTCCAGGCCATTTAGGCTCGTGCCCGGCCAGGACTCACCGATGTGCCGCTTGTAGTGCTTGAGCATGTTGACCTTCTGCGCGAACTTGCGGTGGCACTCCTTGCACTCGTACTCCTTGATGCCCTTGTGCAGCTTCATGTGGTGGCGCAGCGCGTGCTTGGTCTTCATGCCTGCGGGCAGAGGCCGGTGGGCGCCCGCACCTGGACCCCGACAGGCTGCGCCCTGGACCGTCTCTGCCCGTGCCCTGGATCCCCTAATGCCCCGGACCCCCTAATGCCCTGGACCCCCTAATGCCCTGAACCCCCTAATGCCCAGGACCCCCTAATGCCCTGGATCCCCTAATGCCCCGGACCCCCTAATGCCCTGGACCCCCTAATGCCCTGGGTCCCCTAATGCCCTGGACCCCCTAATGCCCTGGGTCCCCTAATGCCCCGGACCCCCTAATGCCCTGGACCCCCTAATGCCCTGGACCCCCTAATGCCCTGAACCCCCTAATGCCCAGGACCCCCTAATGCCCTGGATCCCCTAATGCCCCGGACCCCCTAATGCCCTGGACCCCCTAATGCCCTGAACCCCCTAATGCCCTGGACCCCCTAATGCCCTGAACCCCCTAATGCCCCGGACCCCCTAATGCCCTGAACCCCCTAATGCCCCGGATCCCCTAATGCCCTGAACCCCCTAATGCCCCGGATCCCCTAATGCCCTGAACCCCCTAATGCCCCGGACCCCCTAATGCCCTGGACCCCCTAATGCCCTGGATCCCCTAATGCCCCGGACCCCCTAATGCCCTGGATCCGTTAATGCCCCGGACCCCCTAATGCCCTGGATCCGTTAATGCCCTGGATTCCCCTAGCACCTGTGCCCCTGACCCCCCTCCGGTGCCCACACCCCAGCCCTGGGCAGGCCCAGGTGTCAGGGATGCAGGAAGGGGGCAGGGAAGGAGGGCTCGGCTCTGAAAGGCTTTCCCTGCACCGGGGAGCGGGCAGCTGCCCCCTGGAGGCGCCTGGGACCGCACCTTTCCCGCACTCGGCGCACAGGTACTCCCGGATGTTGTCGTGCACACGCATGTGCTCCTTCAGCATGTCCTTCCTGGCGAAGGACTTCCCGCACTGCTCGCAGGCGTGGCTCTTCACACCTGCCAACCAACGCGCCCACGTCAGCCCTGGACCCGCAGGCGGGGGAAGGCACCAGGGCAGTAACTGGGAGGAAGGCGCCTCCCACAGCCGGAAGGGGCCCCTTCCCCCACCTCCTCGGAGCCTCCCCCGGGCTCTCCGGCCAGGAGGTCCGAGGCCCCGGAGCGGTGGTGATGAGGCAGGGAGGTGCCGGCGGACACCGGGGCCAGGACAGGAGAAGCGGACGGGGAATGCGCTGAGGGGGACCATGCGGGACTGCTCTGCGCACAAAGCCCGCGGGGAAGGCAGCCCCCACCCCCCCTCCGTGCAGCCGGGCCTGCGCCTGCCGGAGCGCCTACCCGTGTGGATGAGCTTGTGCCGCTCCAGGTTCCCGATGCTGTTGAAGATGCGCCCGCAGATCTCGCAGGGGTGGATGTACCTGAAACAGACGGAAGCTCAGGGCGGGCGCCCGTGGGAGATTGCCTGCAGCAGGCACACCTTTCCCGGGCACCATGAGACCAAAGGGGTAACGGAGAGGACAGAAGTCAGAGACCGCGGGGCCGTGGTGAACTTAGTGTCGCCAACTCAAACCCACGTTTCAGTCCTGACCCCCAGCCCCCAGAAGGTGACTGTGTCTGGAGGCCAGGGCTTAACAAGTGGTGAAGCTGAGATGGTCTCTGGCACATGCCTGCGCCAGGATGGCTGGTGTCCTTACAGAAAGGGCGAGTGTGCACACGGAGGCACAGGCCGTGGGACGACCATGTGCAGACACGGGCGATGAGGGGCCTGGGGCAGAGTCCCTCTCTCAGTCGGAGGGAGGCAACCCTGAGACACCTTGATCTCAGGCCTCCGGCCTGCGCACTCCGTCCTGACCACCTGAGCTGGCCACTGCGGCCACTGTGGCCGTAACCATCACACCGTCAGGCTCAGAGCACGGGCTCCGGCTGCAGCCCGATCGGGGGCTGGCCTCCGGGAACGCTGATCACCGGGGAAGGGCGGCTCCCCAGGCCTGTACTGCGCCGCCCGTGCTGAGTCCTGGCAGGGGACAGGCCGAGGCAGGACTGGTGGAGGATCGGCACTTCCCCAGGACCCGTGGGCTCCAGAGCAGAGGGACTTGCCCCTCCAGCATGGCTTCTCTGCCCCTCCCTCGGGCCCCTCCCGCCCGGGAGAAAGCCTCACTTCTGCACGTTGGGGTCGGGCAGGTTCTCGCGGTGGATGACCATGTGGGCGTGGTAGGTGGCCTTCAGGGCGAAGCGCCGGTTGCAGGTGCTGCAGCCGTAGCCCTTCTCCTTGTGCACCTCCATGATGTGCTTCAGGTACTCCTTCCCGCGGCCGAAGGTGAGCTGCGGAGGGAACACGCTCAGGTCGCACCGCTCACAGCTCGGCACGCGCTGCCGCGCACCGCGGGGGCGGGGGATGCTGTGAGAGCCGTCACCTGGCAGTGAGGAGGGCACGCCTAGGGCAGGGGCAGCCCTGGCAGAACTGCGCAGCGGGGCATGTGAAAATGGACCCCAGCTGCTCCCGGGCCTCCCGCTCCTCTTCAGACCAGCAGGGCCCGACCGCCTCCTCTCCACCCACTGACCTCCCTGACCTCACTCACACCCAAGGGTCCTGGCAGGCGCCCGGATGGGCACACAGGCTGGTGCTCACAGAGAACATGGGCACCTGCACTCGACAGGAGTGAACTGCACGCTCCCAGGCAGGGGACCCAGTGCAGGGACCACCTTCATACAGCACGCCGCTGAGCCCGGGCCCTCTGAGCACAGAACTGCCCCCTCTGAGCACGCCCCGCTTCCAAGCACGGGGCAGGCCATGGTGAAGAGCCACTGGCCCGAGGGGGGAGGGAGGCCCCTCATGCAGCCGACCTCCAGGGAGCCAGATCCCACCCGCTGAGCCACCCGGCCGTACGCCGGCCAGCCAGGAGAGAGGTTCCGCAGGGTGGTCATGTGACAGCAGTGAGACCAGCATGCTCCCCGAGAACCAAGTGACGGGGCAGCCAGCAGGAGAGCCCCCCGCGGACTGAGCCCGCCGGGCCGGGCCTGCGGGGCCGCGGCTGCTCCGAGCGGCCAGTTACCTGGCACCTTTTGCAGCTGTACTTGTGCGGCTCCGAGTCCGCGCTCTCGTCAGAATTGTCGTCGTTCTCCTCGGAGGAGATGCCGATCTTGCCGATGAACTCCTCCCTCTGGTGGTCGTCCATCAGCGCGATGTCCTGGAAGAGCCAGAGCCCGACCTCTAACCCCGTGGCAAAGCTCTCCCGGCTCCTCACCCACTGGAGAGGCCGCGCCTCGGCGGGGCAGGGCGCCCCCGGAGCTCCACCTGCTGCGTCCTGCGATGGCCCCACGCAGACACTCTCCCTCCGGCCACCGCACACCCCACTGCCCTGAAGGCAGACCCACCAGGCCCTGCTCACATTCAAGTAATTCTGCAACGCGCAGCCCCGACCCCGTGGGGGTGGGCAGGAGCAGCACACTCCCTCCCGTGGGCCCGGGTGTGAGCTGGGTGCTGCCTGCACTTGGGACACCTAACATCCCTGGCCTCGATGGCAGCTTCTGTCAGTGGGCAGGGGCAGTGGGTGGGGCGGTGGCTTCGGTCAGTGGGCGGGGCAGTGGGTGGGGCGGTGGCTTCGGTCAGTGGGAGGGGCAGCAGCCTCTAAGGCCTCCTCCTGTGGGATGTGACCAGGCTGGCCCCGAAGTTCCTGAAGCTCCATTTACTTTTCTGCAAGACTGCAAGGGTCACGCCAGCAGTCATTCGCAGGCAAGACACACAGGATGGGCCCTGACTGGTTTGCTCAGTGGATAGAGCACTGGCCTGCAGACTGGGGGTCCCAGGTTCGATTCTGGTGAAGGGCATGTGCCTTGGTTGCAGGCACATCCCCAGTGGGGAGTGTGTGGGAGGCAGCTGATCGATGTTTCTCATCGATGTTTCTAGCTCTCTGTCCCTCTTCCTTCCTCTCTGTAAAAAAACAATAAAATATATTTTTAAAAGAAAAGAAAAATAAAAGAAACATGGGATAAGCCGCTATGGGGGTGAGCCCGGCTGAGGGAGCAGCGTGGCAGGAGCCAGCAGGCACCACTGGGGGCAGGAGGCCTCGCTATGCTTGGTGGTCGGCCCCTGTCTCAGCGGCTCCTTCCAGCGGCTGCAGAGGGCGCTGCCCCCTTTCCCTGCCTCTGCCCATCTCAGGCAGAGGCTGCCAGCTCGCATGGCATGGAGGGCAGTCTCACCAGGGAGCAGATTCAGAACCCGGAGATCGGCTCCTTCAGGGAGCTCGCTCGCTCGCCCCTCCCCCTATGCCCTCGGCCGAAGCACCAGATTTCAACAAGGGCCGCAGTCCCGTCTCTTCCACTGTGGACTCTCACATCTACCACAATGAACCCCTGTTTCTGTCAGCAAAGAGGGCACCCCCCTCTCAGAGGAGAACTGCCCGGGATGACTAGCACCTGACCACAGACCATGGCCACGGCCAGGGGCACTCAGACCCGCTGGGCCCATCACCTGTCGGGTCTAAGTTAATGCTCAGGGAAACCCGCTTTCTGTGGCAGGGCTCAGAGACGTGGAGGCGCAGAGGGGGGCAGAACTAGTACCCGCAGGTCCCGGCTGGGACACGGCAGGGTCCCTTGAAGTCCAAGCCCTTCTCCCTGAGGCTCTTTGCCCTCCTGGGCCCCTCCTCCTTCCCCAGTTTGGTCCACACGGCTCTGCGCCCACACTGGAGCCCCCACACTCCTGCCTCGCCCCACTTTCTCCAGCATCTGCCCAGAGAAACCCCAACCTGCACTGGACTGGGAACTGCTCATCACTGAGCTGCAGGCCGGTGACAAGCGTGGGCACCCAGCTTCATCACCCAAGCCTCAGCGCCACCCCCATCTCTGTCTTCCCTGGATCTGCACTTCTCCTGCCCGATGGCCCCAAGTCCTGGCCGCCTCCCCAGCTCTGGCCACCTCCTCACTTCCCTGAGGCAGGGAGAAGGGAAGCAAACCTGCACCCCATCTGCTCAGCAGGAGGCACCGGACTGGAGCCCTGCGGTGGGGCTGCCCGAGACCAGCAAACGGGCACAAGGCTGCATCTGACGAGAGGCGTGTGGCCAAGCTGACCGGCGGTCAGGACGCTGGCCCGAGGCCCCTGCCCCGTGTGAGCGGCCGGGGCGGCGGGCGCGGGGCGGCGCGCACCTTGAAGTGGACGTGGATGTGGTCCCTGAGCACGTCCACGCGGAAGAACTTGCGGCCGCAGATCTCGCAGGTGTACTTCTTGTCGCCGTGGGTCAGCAGGTGCTTGTTCATGTTGCTCCTGCAGGAGAACACCTGCGGGCAGAGAGGTGACGTGGGGGCGCCGCTCACAGCACGGGCCACGCCGCGCAAACCGTAACCACCAACAGCTCCGTCTGCTCTCGCAAACGTCAGCACTCCGGCCGTGTGGCCCTGGCTGCCACCTGCAGCCATCGCTCTCTGTCCAGACTGGCAGCTGCTTACAGGACTGTGTGTAGCTGAGACCCAGCAACTACCAAGCCCAGGCCGGTGCTTATGTCCCCGACAACCCCAGCTGGTGGGGGCGGGGAGCCCCTGTGGAAGCCCCCCACCCCCTGGCTCCCCTGCAGCAAGTGCTCTGCAACCAAGAGGGACACGGTCCCTGCCCCTGGGCACGCAGTGGACACAGTCCCTACCCCCTCTGCACGTCCTCGTCATGGGAGGCGGGTCTGAGGAGAGCCAAGGCCACAGAGCTCATTCACAAAGAGCACCCCACTTCCGTGGCTCCCTGAGCGGCTCCCACACGGCTGACAGCACCGGGGGCTCTGATGTGCAGTGCACTGCTGGACATTTAAGGTCACGCTAAGGAGTTGCCTGAACGGTCCTGCTCCCAAGTGTGACATCATGCTTCGCTCACTCAGGGAACATGCCAGGAACACCCGTGGCCATGCAGTTGCTGGTGCTGTCACTCGGAAATGCCACAGAGGAGACAAGCACCGACAGACAGAATTAAGCCCCAGGACGGCCTTCCCCGGTGAGCGGCTCTCATCTCTGCCGAGGGACACGTCTCAGAGATGCTGAGAGAGAGAGAGCGTGCGCCCAGGCACACGCCAGTGGAGATGGTGGCAAACAAGGAAAGGGGCTCTAAACGAGAAAGCACTCATCCCTAAGCTCCCTCGCCGGATCACAGCTCAACAGCGAAGGATCACAATGACAAGGCCACGAGTGAGTGGACACTGCAGCTCAGGACACCCTGAGAGTCATGTCCCCCCGGAACCTGCCCCAGCAGGCAGTGGCAGAGCTCCGACCTGTAACAGCGGGAAGCGGTGAGCTGCGTGTTTGGTGACGGGGCAGGCGGGTGTTACCTTGCCGCACACGGGGCACCCGGAAGGCTCCTTCTTGTAGCGCACCAGGCTCTCCCCGCTGGGCTCCAGGTCTTCCCTCTTCACCCGCCGGACGCCTGGAGTGCCCACCGCCCGAGAGAGGACATCGGTCAGTTCTGCTGCAGCCAGTGTCCGTCAGAGGATGAGACCCAGCAGCCCACGGTGTGAGACTCATGAGCGAGCGGGGGCAGACGTCCCTGGGCTCTGACGTGAGCATCAGCGCTAACCGCTGCGCCACAGGCTCCCGGGAGAGAAGAGACTGCAGCACCCTTGGTTCAGTGACAGGGCTCTGGCACCTGAAACATCTGGGAATGCGAGGGCAGCGAGTGTTTTCCACTTCACGGTGTGGAAGGTTCTAGCGAACGACCTAGCGGTGTCTGTGCCCAGTGACAAGGCTCAGGGAGAAGGCAGGCTCTCAGTAGGCGGGCTTTTTACTAAAGAGGCTAACGCTCATCCTTCAAATTAAACCAGTTGAATTAGGGCCTCGATGCAGAGTCCGAGGATAATAAAATCCTATGGGTTTCAGACTTCGGGGCTGCTTGGGGTGCACAGAGGAGGAGCCAGGGGAAACCAGTCAGGGCCCCCCAACGCCTCTGCCTGGAATGCCGCTCCACGCACACGGTGGAGCGCTCACCCATGCAGTTTCCGTTTTCTTCCTGCTTTCTCTCGTGTGGAAAGCACCTTGCCATAGTGCTAAAAACTGCCTGAGGAACTGTAAGGACTGCATAGCACTCAATCCTACAGAGCGTGTTTCCTTAGCTCTTTCCCTCCTGCGTACTCAGGACATTCCCAACTGTCCCCACAGTTCCCACCGACACTCCGAACCCTCCTTCGGCCCAAGCTGACTCCCCGCGGCTCGGAGACTCCACCGGATGGTGACAGGGCGAACCTGCGTCCAGAGGGCTGGTGACAACACGCCCCCACCCCCACCCCCACCCCCCCTAGCCTGCCTGCGCGGCGCTCACCCTCCAGGTGCCTCCGCTGGTGGTCCAGCATGACGTCCTTGCGGTAGAACATCTTGTTGCAGACTTCGCAAGCGAACTTCTTGTCCCCGTGCTTCTTCTTGTGCTTGGAGAGGTTGCTGTTGGTGGAGAAGAATCTGAAACACATCTCACATTGGAACGTCTTGTCATCTGTCCAGAAAGCAAGCAGACACGGCAGCTTTTAGGTCAACGGCAGCGGATGCAGGCTCGGCGGTGCGGCCGCGGGGATGGCAGTGGGTGCGGGTGGAGGGTGGAGATGTGTGAGGACCACGCGGCCAGAAGGCCGGGTCACCCGTGCTGCTGTCCAAGCACAGGCTGGAGGGCTGGTTCCCAAGATTCAGCTCACCTCCTCCTGCCCCCAAGTCCAGCCACATCCTCCACCACACTCCTCGCCCCCACGGCATCCAAACGATTCTGCCCAAAGAACCACAGTGCTCCCCCGGGAATGGGCCCCAGGAATGGGACAGTCCCCACCTGCTCCCTCTGTGGCACTGCGCCCTCCCTCCAGGCGCCAGGACGCCCCCTGAAGGCCTGCACTGGGTGAGCGTGGGCAGTGGGCACCTGCATGGCGCCAGCACCCCTCCAGCTGTCTGTCCTTGCCCGGACCCCCTGGGCTCTCCCCTTGGTTCAGGGATCTCAGGGCCTCGTACCCAGCACAGGCCCCGACCCTCTCCGTGTTGTGCTGTGCTCTGCCCCTCAACCCACCCTCATCCAAGGGTCTGTCCCCCCACAAGCCCTGAGGCAGCCCTCACTGCCCACGGCCCTCCTGGAGCACCAGCCCCGCCGGGTCCCCCTGCAGGTGGGCATAACGGAGTGGGTCACGGGGGCATCCTCCTTCAGAGGGAGGCCTCAGGACACACCGTGTCACCCTTGTTTCGGGCCTGGGGCTCCAGTCCGCTAACCTGTGCCTGGAGTCAGCAAACGTTTGCCAAACACACAGATCACTGAGGCTCACACAGCCCTGCTGCTTCCTACCCTGAATCTGATGGCTTCTCACTGTGCTGTGCAGGGAGCCCATGGTGCGTTTAAATACCCCCTGCTCCCTCCAACCCCCCCCGCCCCCACACACACACACAGGATCTCAGACACACGTGGGCCACACCGTCCTCTGTGGGGGCCGACCTGGTCTGTGGCTGTCCTGCAGCAGCCCCCTCACACAGCCAGTGTGACACCAACATGTCCAGGCCGGTGGGGGGGGGGGCGGGGGGGTTAGGTGACCCCGATGTACAGCCCAGGTGCATCTACATGATCCCCTGTACACACACTCACATGTATGCAGTATGTGTGCTTAGTGTGCAAAACATGTTCACGCTTATTTCAGTGGCTATGTAACAGTCCACGTGGCTCCTTTGCCACAATTTACTGCATTGTTTTCTATATTGTAGATAACTTGGTGACCCCAGTGAGGTAGGCAGTCTTCCCCTTTCTGCTAAATCTCCTGAGCATGGCTTCTTAGGGGTGGGACCACCAGACCAAGGGCGTCTGCATCTGCTTTGTGGAGGCTACACGGTCACTGGGCTGTCCCACCAGATCACAGAGACCCCACCCTCCCCGCGCCTGCAACACCAGCCAGTGAGCCTTCCTCCTGGGCAGGTGCTCACAGCACAGGTGAGCCGCCTCCCGGCTTTAGCTTTCTCTCTCACGAGGCCTCCAGCATATGGTGAGAAATCACTTGCAACTATTCCCGGCTCATCTGCTCAGGGAGAAGGAGCGGGCGGGGCTGTGGAGACGTCCTTCACTCAGGGTGGGTTTCCTGTGTGGCATCCAGTCACCAGTTTAGGAATGCAGGTGGGCATCTGGCTCCAACAACAACTCTTTCCATCAATAACCCTGGTGCCCTTGAGGTCTATATCTCTATATATAAAAGCCTAAGCAACGGACCGACCAAATGACAAGTTGACCGGTTGCTATGATGCACACTGACCACTAGGGGGCAAATGTCTAATGCAGGAGCTGCCCCCTGGTGATCAGTGTGCTCCCACAGCCAACCTCCCACAGCTGGCCAACCTCCCGCGGTCCCTCCCACTGGCCAGCCAACCTCCCATGGCCCCGCTCGCCAGCCAGGCCGAGGGACCCCACCTGTGCAGGAATTCGTGCACCGGGCCTCTAGCATTTTAATAAAATGCAGTAACTGAGAACAGATGTCTATCCGTTGGGATCTGTGAGGGTGTGGGCGCAAGGTCACCCAGAGATAAGGCAGCAGATTTCCAGGGAGCCGACCTGCGTGGGAGCCTGGATGTGACGCTTTGCTATTCACTAGCACAGTCTGATGGTCAAGGGCATTCAGGGACCACTCAGAAGAGTTATACCCACACCCGTCACACCCGGGGCAGGCCCTGCTGAGAGGAAGCATGAGAAAAATCCAGAAGACTACACGTTTCAAAGTTTCTCCCTCACCTGGGACAAATTCTTGGCTTAATGGTCTATGGAAGACACACATTTTCTTATGTGAACACATAAAAAGGCGTAACAGTATGCAAATGCTGCATTTGGCAAATAAGCTCCATATCAGGCTTCTCTCTTACTTTCCTTCAGAACTTGTGCCCTTTGAAAGAGCCTCTCAGAAAGGAGAAGGGGCATTCCAGCTGCCGCCGTGACTTCCACGTAACGGAGGAAAGGTCTGCTTTGTCAGAACTTTGGCCGACGTGCAGCCCCAGGGCTCTGCCTCCTGTCACTTTCGGCTTCAGCTGTGTCCAGAGAGACGGCTCCAGAGGACACCTCTCCTTGCTGGACCCTGAGGCGCTCCCCAAACACCGGGCAGGTGCCGCTCCCGCTCCTGACCCCCTGGCAGCCCGCCCCATTCCTGCAGACACGCAGACCTGCGAATGGCCACATGGGCGTGGTCCGACTCAGAACAACAGCCCAGGCTAAGGCTGGCTGACCGCGGGCGCCGCATGGAGACTGCGGGGGGACCTGCCCCCGGTCTGGGGCAGCGGGGTGCAGGGCTCAGGATGTAGGTGTGTGGCACAATGGAAGTCCGTCCGAAAGCTGCCAAGGCCACTTAGAGCCACAGACACAGAGGCTGCGGAGCAGCTGGCGCTCAGGTGAAACAGGACCTGTCTGCCACTCAGAACAGCCCCGCCATGGGAGCGAGGCGCCATGGACTCAGAACAGCCCCGCCATGGGAGCGAGGCGCCATGGACGAGACACACCAGGCTCCAAATGGGACCCTCCAACACGACAAACACACAAACGAGCCAAGCAGGGTCCCAGCGGGCGCTGCCGGGCAGGCGCTGGCTGCGGAGGGAGGGGCCGTGGAGACTTGGCTAAGGCCGGTTCAGGTTCCCCGGAGCCTCGCCTGACCAGGAACCGCACAGAGATACAGGGACGCACACAGAGGGTCGACAGGAAGGGTTCGGTATCGCAGGCTAACCTGGTAGGTCGCTAAGCCGACTGCCACGGGTCCCCCCCTCTCCCGGGTGTGCTAGGGTTCCTGGAGAGAGGGAGAACGCAAGTCACCCACGGAGCGCAGGGGAGAGCGGTGGGGATGGGGCGGGGCTGTCCGTGGGCTGGGCGCCTAAGCCACTGCCTCCTCTGGCCACGAGTATGTCTAAGGCACGTATGCTTGCCAGCTGCCAGCTTGCCCAGAGACAGGGCCCAGCACGCTTGCCCGGGCCCAGGGAGGCTCCCTCGGCACGGGCTCGTGGCAGCATGAGGAAATGAGGGTCCCTGTCACTCCTGGAGACTGGCGGACAGAAGTGGACTCAGGACAACGTGGTCTGGACACGGGCAGCTCCATGCAGAAGGGAGGCTAATGGTTCCCGAAGCCCCTGCCGACGAGTGGGAGACGTCACTCCTGCAGGCAGCACCCACCCACCTCCCGCTCTCGCGTGGTCCTAGCACCGACCCGACATGGCTGCTCGCCACGCTCAGCGAGATGGCACGCGTGGAATCTCGCACGTGGGGCATGTGTAAGAGGGAGTGGGGACATAAGTTCCTTTAGACACGGGACGTCTCCATCTGTCTCCAGACCAGCTAATGACTGCTCGGAAGCAACACGCGTGGCGGGGTTATCTGTGACCTCTACCTTGACCCCCTGCTGACGTCCCCCAGCTCCCACCCCGTGGCCTGGGACTCGGCGCCGCCGCCGGCCGCTCACCTGTCCTGCAGTTGTGGAACTCCAGCGCGCTCTCGATGCGGAAGGTCTTCTCACAGGTGCCGCACCGGTACCTGTACTCGCCGTCCACCTGGGCAGAGGGCAGCGCGTCAGAGAGGAGGGGGAGCCCCGGGGAGGCTCAGGCAGAACGAGCTCCCGGATGAAACATTCTAGCAACTTCCACGGGTGTGTGGTTTACGACGTTTCTCTCCTGCTCTCCTGCTCAGCTTAGGAACATGAAGCATTTTCACTCTTCCCGCCCCATCGCCCTAGAAAGAGCACCCCATACTCAGGCCCCCGCCCAGCCCCGGGGCCCACTCCTCAGGCTGCCTGTCCGCGCCAGGCCGGGCCACCTGGATGCGTCCAGAACCGCGGGGCTGGGCGCTGTGGTTCTCTCCTCTCTCCTGGCTCTCACTTCCCTCCCCAGCCTGACTGCTCGGTCCGTGGCCTGCTTCCCCCCCCATAGCTGCAGGGGCGGCAGGGGAGGACGACGGCGGCTGCACCCACCTCGTTCCTGCTGTGCTTGTAGGACACGTGCTGCTTCAGACTCTCCTTGCGGCTGAACAGCTTCGCACACTCCTCGCACTTGAACAGCTTGTCCCCTGCGGAGCCGACAAGAACAAGCCGATCCACGACTGCGGTTCGGCCAGAGACAGGCGCGCCCCGTCCCTGCGCACGGGGCGGGCGGCCCGCGGGAGCGGCTGGCACTCACCGTGCGAGCGCACGTGCCGGCTCAGGTTGCTGCTGTTCTGGAAGACCTTGCTGCAGGTGCCGCACTGGTACACCCGCCGGTGCTCCCCCAGCTGCCGCACCAGCTTCCGCCGGATGCCGTGCCGGGTGGAGAGGATCAGACTCCTCTTGAGGGTGATGCTGCCACTCTGATGATGCGGGAACCTGCCGGGTGGGGGGGGGGGGGCGGGAAGGCAGGTGGGAGACTGAGTTCAAGGTTACAGTCATCTTGGAAGGGGTCCTTCCACATCGTCCCAGCGCGATGGGAGACAGGGGCCAAGCTCGGCATCACCCGGAGCCGGGGCCCCGGAAGGAGGGGCACCAGGCACGCATCTGACGGCGTCTGCCTCTGGCCACCAGGAAGCGTCACACGCGACGTGCGCTTCAGCCGGAGCAGCAGGGCCCTGCAGCTGTCCTCACGGGCACGGCCTCTGCTGTCTCATATTCTCCCTGATTTTTACAATGTCTTCCGCTGTGTGTTCCTGACTGTTCCCGTGGAAACTCTCTGGCCACCCAGACAGACTGTAAATAATAAACAGACAACAGCCTTTCTGACGTGACTTTGGTTTCAGTATTTCCACAGGATTCCAGCCTAACAAGGACCAGGTGCACTTTGACGATAGTAAGAGGACCCCCAAAAGCGCTGGTGGAGAAAAAACTGCCACCAGCTTATTCAGCTTCAAGACAATCATTTCCTAACAATGACAACAAAACACAAATATTGTCTTTGTCTGCTGAAAGAAATAGAAAACACAAAGTAAGGAATGCAATTTATAGAAATTCAAATACAAAACTGCTTTATAACAGCAGCAATATTCGTAACTAGAGGCCCAGTGCACAAAATTTGTGCATGGGTACATTCCTTAAGTCTGGCCTGCGATCAGGGCCATTTTTCCAAGATGCTGCAGCTGACCCCACCCCCCACTGCCACCCACCCCCAGTTCCCCATTCGCCATTGAGTGATCAGAGCCTGACAACTGGGGGAAGGGACCGAGAGGTGGTCAATGCACCCCCTAGCGACTGGTCGAGCGGTCATTCCATCAATTGGTTGATTTGCATATTATATATATATATATATATATATATATATATATATAGAGAGAGAGAGAGAGAGAGAGAGAGAGAGGGGGGGGGGGGCCCAAGAGGGGAGGCAGCCCAGGTACCCACGGAAGCAGGAATGGATAAACTAATTGGTCCATACCACCTTAAATGTTACTCAACCTGAAAAGGGAGGGCATTCTGACCTAGGCTACCCTTCGATGGACCTTGAGAACATCATGCTGAGTGAAGTAAGCCCGTCACAGAAGGACCAATACTGTGTGATTCCACTTACACAGGCACCTAGGGTGTGCAGATTCACAGACAGGGGCTGGGGGCAGGGGGATAAGGAATAACTATTAAATAAGTATGGAGTTTCACTTTAAGGAAGATAAAGATAGTGAATGTATATAAACCCACTGACCTATACTCTTAAAACTGATCATGACGGTAAAGTTCATGTCATGTCTACTTTACCACAATAAAAGTATTTCTCACACTGTTTGCACAGTGGACGCACCATTATATGTATATATTTTATGAGTCCAGAGTGTTTCTGCTGCTTGCTCAGAAACACACTCATCCGCTTCCACGACGAGAAGCACACCCCTCTCGTCAGGCCCTCCCTCCCCACGAATCCGCTGCCCCCGCTTCCTGTCCCGAGCGCAGAGGCAGGACTCACTTTGGCACTGAAGTGGCCTCGCTGGTGGTGGTGGCCAGCTTCCCCAAAACCAGCTCCATGATGTGCTCGTCCGGCGCTGCAGGCACCGGCTCGTCCGGGGGCACCTCGGTGATGATCTCTGCCACGTGCTCTGTGCGGACAGAAAGGGACCGCCCGTCACAGCTGGCCGGGGACCGAGCACAGCCAGCCAAAGCGGCACGCCCAGGGCACCGCAGCCGGGCCAGGCTTACATGGTTAACAAGAGAAAGGAAGACTATTCTAGAACCTATACGTTTATCTGTATATGTAAAAAATCAAAATGGTATTTTGATTTTTTTTTTATAAATACAGACCTATATATACAGACCTCAGACCTTGTCAGGTCCACAGAGCATAGCCTGCTGGTCACCTGCTGGCTCCGCCCCAGGGCCAGCCCTCAACTGCTGGCTCCGCCCCCAGGGCCAGCCCTCAACTGCAGGCTCCGCCCCCAGGGGCAGCCCTCACCTGTTGGCTCCGCCCCCAGGGGCAGCCCTCACCTGCTGGCTCCGCCCCCAGGGCCAGCCCTCACCTGCTGGCTCCGCCCAAGGGGCCAGCCCTCACCTGCTGGCTCCGCCCTCAGGACCAGCCCTCACCTGCAGGCTCCTTGTCTTCAATGATGACCATTGGCTGTTCCGGTTTCTGTTCCGGTTTCGAGGCTCTGGGTTTTCTCCCCCTTCGAGGCTTTTTCTTCTGCTCTTTGGTGGAGGTGACGCTCTTGGGAACTGCAGGAGGCTCCCCCCGGGGCCCCTCAGGTTCCCTCTCTGGAGCCCCTTCCTGCTGGCTGGCCGGGGGGAGGCTTTTGGTTTGTTCCAAGTGACCCAACAGATGCTCTGCAGGAGAGGGAGGCAGGCGCACAGGGGCGTGAGGCAGCTGGTCAGTGTCCGCTCCCTCCCCACTGCTTGTTTCTGTTTTCAATTTTACTTGCTAATAGTGTGCCCTCTGCAGAGGTAACCTGCATTCCCACTGCTTTTGAAAAGAAAGCGTTCCCATACACAACTAGTTTTTAAAGTCAGTCAGGTGATAAGCGCAGGGCAGTTCTGTACAAATGGAAGCCTGAGCACACGCGTATGTGCGAAGGGGACAGTGGAAGGCCTGTCAGCATGTCTCTCTCAGTGGTAACAGTCTAGGCAATTTTGCTTTTCGTCTTTAAGCTTATTTGCATTTTCTAATTTTCCCACAATACGTAGCAGGATTACTCAAAAACGTAACCTCTAAGAGGAAAAGAGCAATGTTCAATTTGTGATGAACACTGTGTCTTTAAAAACACTGCATAAAAGCAAAACGACAAACACTGTGCTTCTTCAACTGAAGAAGGCCTCAGGGGCCTCCCAAGACAAGAGGGTGGCCAGTCCCCTGAAGGTGAGTCCGGCACAGCCCAGCCGCACAGCAGGGAGGAGAGGGAGGACTGATGCACCAGATGACGGAGGCACCTGGGCGCTCGCGGGGCCCAGGACTCATTCTTCCTATTGGACAGCTCCCCTGGGTGGACTCCGGTGCTGTATGAAGTGGCCGCTACGCCTTCATTTGTCCCGTACGGAGGACACTGCTGGGTGAGTGCCCTCAAGAATGGGGGAGAAAAATAAAATTACACGCAGCCACAGTGCTGGGTGACACATGTCAGAGGAAGGGTTTGGCAGTTCAGCCGCACAGAGCAAGGCAACAACGAGCGCAGCTGGCTGCCAGCACTTGGAAAGACGAGACAGAATACAGACCTCCCACCCTCACGGTAATACACCGCTGAGCTTACGAGCATCTTGTGATGCCAGATACACAGAGGCCTTCAAGCCAGAGTGTAAAAGCAGGAGCGGGAGAGGCACTGGGCTGGGGAAGAACTGGGCTGGGGAGGCAGTGGGCTGGGGGAGGCAGTGGGCTGGGGAGGCAGTGGGCTGGGGGAGGCAGTGGGCTGGGGAGGCAGTGGGCTGGGGAGGAACTGGGCTGGGGAGGAACTGGGCTGGGGGAGGCAGTGGGCTGGGGAGGAACTGGGCTGGGGAGGAACTGGGCTGGGGGAGGCAGTGGGCTGGGGGAGGCAGTGGGCTGGGGAGGCAGTGGGCTGGGGAGGCAGTGGGCTGGGGAGGAACTGGGCTGGGGGAGGCAGTGGGCTGGGGAGGAACTGGGCTGGGGGAGGCAGTGGGCTGGGGAGGCAGTAGGCTGGGGAGGCACTGGTTGGAGGGGAGGCACCGGGCTGCGGGAGGCCCTGGGTGCGAGGTCATTGACCTGAGGGAGGCACTGGGCGAGGCTGGTTCCTTGGCACAGCACGCAGGCCTGGGAGACAGGCTTGAGGCTCACTAAAGCAGGAAGCCTCCGACGCCATGCATTTTGCTGTCCAAAGGGATGGTGTGCTGGAGAGTGGCCAGTCTCAGTGGCCTCAGCAGAGGGCTGACAGAACTCTGACTCAACAACCTGCCGGCCGTCTTACCGTTCAGCAGCTGCAGCTCCAGGAAGGTGGCGGAGCACACTTTGCACACCCACGGGCTCGGCTCCGATTCCACCGGGGTGCTGCTGTCCGGGGTGCCTGCAGCTTCAAGAGAGAGACAAGGTGACCCTCCGCAGTCCGTCTGTCCATGACGGCCCAGCCCAGCAGAAACCACCTGTCCTGCAGGCGGCAATGACACAGCGATCGCTCGTGGACCACTTCAATGGCCCAGGCGCCACTCTGTGCTCGGGATGTCCTCATGTCACAGGGGAGGGCACGGAGCCCCGAGAGCCACAGCAGGGACTGTCTCCAGTCGCAGAAACGGATCATCCTCCAGGAAGCCAGTCTAGCCCCGTGGTCGGCAAACTCATTCGTCCACAGAGCCAAATGTCAACAGCACAACGATTGAAATTTCTTTGGAGAGCCACATTTTTTAAACTTAAACTTCTCCTAACACCACTTCTTCAAAATAGACTCGGCCAGGCTGTGGTATTTTGTGGAAGAGCCACACTCAAGGGGCCAAAGAGCCGCATGTGGCTCGAGAGCTGCAGATTGCGGACCACGGGTTTAGTGGGACCAGGCCCATCCTTCATACAACCTCAAGGGAAAAAAATGCATCCTACAGACAAAACCCAATTCCTCCGTTTCTCATCGGCTCGCACAACAAGGGACTCAAACAGCCGTCAGTGTGCCCTGGGCCTGGGGTGGCACCTCGCCCAGCGCTGCCCACCACTCTGTGCAGAGATGGGAATACTCCGTAACGCGCTGTCCGGGCAGAGGCCACATGTGCTCGTGTCCCCGAGAAACTGGAGTCTTACACCCACTTAATGTGGATTTGGGTTTGAATGGCCCCCGGGGCGGGAGGCTGCTGTCCGGCAGTGCCTCCAGTTCTTCCCTGCAGAACCCCGGGGGCTAAGAAGGGAGATGACCGGGGTCCATGGAGGTCAGAGGGAGGCCCTGGCTCTGAGGAGGGGAACTGCAGCTCCTTTAAAAAAAATTACGGGTGCTCTTGTGGGACCTAAATGTTGGGGCCCTGATCTTCTGGCCCAGCCTGGTCTCCCTAGCCCTGTCTGGCTGATCGGGGCTGGACCGAGGCCATGAGCCATCAACACTACGTCCAATCGCTCACTATATAGCCCGTGTGGACACACGTAGGCCACTTGCACAGCAACGCCTGGGCCCTGAACTGAGTCACCCAGAACTGAGAGTGCTCATGCACTTGGCATCAGGGGAAAGGCGGGCAGAGGCAGCGCAGGGAGCCTAGGCAGCCGCTATGTCACTAGCTGGCCCATGGGCCTGGCACATAGAGGTGGGCGTTACCTTGGGCTCCGGGGAAAGGCCTACCTGCGAGTTACCAGCACGGCCAGGGCTACATGATCACTCAGCAGGTAGTGCTCTCAGGAGGGAGAGAAATAAAGAATCCCACTAACCACATAGGTAAGAGGAGTCAATCACTTTCCATGCATTTCCAGAAATATTTGCTTGCCATTTGTCTCAAACAGAAAACCATAAAAAGTATTTCTAAAATGTTAGAGTACCTAAGTTGCTTACTTATTTTCCCAACTCAAAGCCTTGCTTGGGGTGAGCCTGCCTTCCAGTTTATGCGGGTTGCCTGACATAATTATTAGGTTCCCCCTCCCCCCTTTCCCCGCACCCCGTTCTCAGAAGCATAGAAGAGGAACCAGCGGCCCTCATATTCCTGACTGAGTGGTTAGGACTAATTTCATTAAAATCTATCGTCTCCAAAATCAGCTCCAGATGACAGAAAGCTCTCTAGCAGGTAAAGACACAGGACAACGGTAACTCCGCTAAGTGGCACCAGGCTCTGCTTTGGCCTTGACCCTGAGAGTCGTGAGGGGTGTGCCATCGTCCAGGACACAAATGACAAGGTCAGCCTCGAACAACCCAAATGGTGACATGCCGTCTGGCTGCTCCCAGGCACTCAGGGCGTCAGCTGCCTGTGCCACAAGGAATCGGGCACAAGGAGACCAGGTCAGAAGAGCTCGGAGCCCCTGGACAGGCCAACAAAGCCTGGTGCCAGCCGCGTCTGGGTCTCTCGGGGCCGTGGAAAGGACCCGTGCCACCAAGACCCACAGGCAGGAAAGATTTTTTAAGGTGAAGACAGCATTTTAGTTATTTATTTAGTCACTCAGCTTTTATTTGTTTATTTTTCCTGGACCCTGGTTTGTCAGATACGCACTATGATTTGCTTTTCCAATAGAAGCATCAGGGTTGAGCCAATCACGTATGACTGTCACGGGGTATTTCTTTGCACGCACACTCACACACACGTGTGCACACACAAGTGGATGCACACACCCCGGTTCTGGAAGAGGCTGCAAGGTGACAGCCCCGCCCGGGAGCCAGATTCCTCCGTCTCCCGCGCTGGGACCAGGGCAGGCTCCTCACCTCCCTGTGGCCGGTTTCCTCGGCCCAAACCAGGGACAAGCACAACCTCAGAGACAAGGCTGAGTCACCGTGCGGACAGCGCGGAGGACTTACTGAGGCAGAGCTAAGGGGTACAACCTCCCGCCAGCAGGCATCTGGCTCCGGGGTGGGCTCTACCAGCTGGATATTTAACAAGCAGAACAACAGGCCTGGAAAAGGGGGGTCAAGACCACCCCCCGTCCTCCCCAGGCACAGCCAGCTCGCCAGCACAATTCCTCACTCACGCCGGCTTCCCGGGCGCAGCCAGGAGGCTCCCACATACCGTGGACGCCCGAGCAGGCCTGCTTCAGCATGGGCTTGTCCATCTTCTTGGCGTAAAAGGCCGCGTACCACACGCGCAGCTCCGTGCCCGGGGGGATGTCCCGGGAGGTGGTGAAGTACACGTCGCTGCCGTGCTGGTAGGCCGTCAGGTTCTGGTGCTCAGACTCCACCGCCGGCCGCACCAGCATCATCCAGTTGCAGTCGTCCTCGTTGGAGGTGTCGAAGCACACGGGGTGCCCATCCTTCTGGAACACCTGAGGGGAGCACGCCCGCCAGGGGCCGGGCCGGGGAGGGTCCTGTTACCCACTGTCTGTGTGTCAGCGTGTGTGTGTGTGTGTGTGTGTGTGTGTGTGTGTGTGTCAGTGTGTGTGTGTGTGTGTGTGTCAGTGTCAGTGTGTGTGTGTGTGTCAGCGTGTGTGTGCGTGTGTGTGTGGGGTGGGGGACGCTAAGCAGTCTAGATGGTTCTACTGTGGAGGACACATGAAGCTCTGCACTGGTCCTGTTTACAGTAGCTCGAGCGTCTCACAGAGGTCAGGCTGGTCATAGGCAACAGACAGCAATGGACACAGTGCAAGATCCAGGTGTCCAGGGAGAGCCGAGTCCTACTGGACAGGCGCCACGGGGACACGAGTTCTATGCAGAAACGGGAACACCTGATGCTGAGCTGTGGTCTAGGTGGGTACCTGGGCAGTTCTATGAGTGGCCCAGGTGGCACAGGGAAACCTGGGATACACTCCTAGGCCAGGGGTGCGCTGAGTATACCCTGCGGTACACTCCCAGGCCAGGGGTGTACTGAGTATACCCTGAGGTACACTCCTGGGCCAAGGTATACTGATTATAATCTGAGGTACACTGCCAGGCCAGGGGTGGACTGAGTATACCCTGAGATACACTCCCAGGCCAAGCGTTACCAGGAGACCTGCGGTCTCTCATGACCGAGCCGGAAAGCGGGACGGCTGAGGTCTACCCCCGGAGTGAGCACAGAACATCCGAGTCCTTCTTTTGGTCCAGGTGGCACAGGACACCTGAGTTCCATTCCCTGTCCGAGTGTCATCCGCACAGCCGGGTTCCCCTCCTCGCACACAGGCACTGGCCTCTGTGCCTCGTTCAGGCACCATCGGACACGTGAGCTCGGAAGATGGGAATCAGAATGCCTGCGCTCTACCTGGCCCAGGTGGGAACTGGGACACCTGAGTTCCGCCACGGCCCAGTTAGGAACCGGGATGCTGGAGTTCTCCTCCTGGCCCAGGGGCCTCTGGGATATCTGAGCTCTGTGCCTGGTCCGGTGCCGCTGACTCACCGGAGCTGTACGCATGGCTCAGTGGGAACTGGGAGACCTGAATTCTATGCCTGGTCCAGGTGTGCCTGGGCACCTGAGTCCCACACGTGGCCCAGGGGGAATGGGACGCTGGGCTGTACCCATGGTCCGATGGACATCAGGACACGTGAGCTCTCCTGGCTCTATCCCAGGGTGCTCAGCGGCCTGAGCCAAGACCCTCGGTCTTCATAGGGTGCCCTCAGCTGCAAACCAGCACTGATCCTTGCGGGTTAAAGGCAGGCAGGGAGCAGGCGAAAAGACCTGAATATTCTGAAGTTCACAGTAACCACACAAGAACTATTTCCTGATGCCTGTGACTTCCTGCCTGGAGGAAGGAGTCTCTCCCCTCTCCTGAGTGTTTTCTTTGGGGGCTGAAGGCCCCTCTGAGGATGGAGCCCTCAGACACTAGAGGGGAGGGCGGAAGGGCCACCAGGTGCCCAATGACCCCCCTGGTGTGGAGTGTACTCCCAGTGGGCCCGCACTCCCTCCCTCTGGGCACACAGGTGCCAAGGCTGAGCCGGTGCTGAGAACAGCTTGTGCCAGACCCAGACCTTCAGATGGGAGTCGCTGAGAGAAACCAGGACGGGCACAAAGGACTGTTCAGAGGGGCTTGGCCGAGGAGACCGTGTATCGTGTGGCCCGGGTCCCCGGAGGAAGAGCAGCCGACAGCCTCGCTTCCTCCCCTTCCCCTCTTTTCTGTGAACATCACGTGCCTTTCCTTGCCCCGCTGTGCTGAAATCTGCCTCGAAAGGTCACGTTTCCAAGCCCCACACCTGAGGTTACATACTTCATCTCTGGCCCTGAACGTGATCTCTGCTTGGGGTCCGTGAGCAGAGTCCCCTCTGTGGTTACCTGCTGTCCCAGCGCCCTGCCCCTCCCCTGTCCAGTTCCCGGGCTCGCTGGGGGCTGTGCCGGGCTGGGCCCAGGACAGAGCCGTGAACAGCGCGGATCCCGGCCCCTGGATCTCCCACGGGTCTTACTCTGCTGCTAAGCCCTTCCTGCTACTCCCAGTTCGCTTTTCTCTTTCTCATAAAAGCTGTCCCATCCTAGTGACGGATTTTGAGAGCTACCACGCTTTGTCTCTTCGCTGCCTCAACCAGACACCTTCCTTCAGAAAGGGCTTGCAAGTACATGCACTTGCACAGGTGTGAGGGCAACTAGTCTGACACCCACTGAGACAAGAGGCAGAATGGTCACCTCCTACGGCTGCCACGCCCCCTGGTGGGAACAGAGGCGGCGGCAGCGTTTGGGGCTCCTCCGCAGACACCTCAAACCCGCTCCCTTCGGTGTCTGTGGAAGTGGAAATCGCAGGAGCGGCCTTTTGTGGAAACGGTCTGTGAGCCTCTGGCACTGGGTGGCGGTGTGCCCCTCGCTCGGAGGACGGTCAGAAAGCTCGGCTCCCAGCACCGTGGCACAGCCTCACCTTCAGGGGGAACGCGGATTCCTTCTCCCACTTGGCCACTCTCCTCGACTCGAAGGGACCGAACTGCGTTCGCTTGACGAGCTGTGTGACGGCAAACACGCCTTCGGCTCCGTCTTCCAGCCGTCGAATTTCCAAGTTGGAAGGAAGGGATGACCTAGACATGGAACGAAAGAAGTCCTTGCGCCGGCCAGTGTGGCTCGGTGGTGGAGCACTGACCTGTGATCCAGGAGGTCACAGTTTGATTGTTGGTGTGGGCACACGCCCAGGTTGCGGGTTCAATCCCCAGTGTGGGGCGTGCAGGAGGCAGCCCATCAATGCTTCTCTCTCATCATTAATGTTTTTATTTCTCTCTCCCTCTCTGAAATCAATAAAATATATATATATTTAAAAAAAACACACACACACAAAAAATAAACCAAGTTCCTGAGCGCCATTGGCTGGGGCAGCCATTCACACCAGGACATAGGTGGTTACGAGAGATGAACAAGCTGGCTCCCCGGACCACCCAGGGCACAGGATGGAGGCCACTCACTGAAGGACGTGACCATCCCGCCCACCAGAGACAGAGCCAACACTGCAGTGCTCCAGGTGCGGGGGTGACGGCCAGCGGGATGGCCAGGACGCCTCTCACCAGTGAAGCACAGTCCAGGGAGAGGACGGACTATGGCAGCTTCAGGACAAAGTGCCACGTGGAAAGTCCACGAGAAAGACAGAGAGAGCCACGCATTCCAAAGGCCAGAGGAGGCCTCCTGGCTGGGCCGAACCGCCCGCTTCACGGAGAACCAGGAGAAGGTCCAGGGGTGCTGGAGGAGAAGGCACGTGGGCCAGGACTCCAGTCCCAGCCCCAGCATCAGCGAGCCGGAGGAACCCAAGGATGGAGGGTCTCTCTGCGGGACAGACAGCTCCCAGTGGCGTTTGTGGGCACAGACACCGTTGGAGGTTTGGGGGAGCGCGGATTCAATCTCTACTTTAGGCACGAATATTCATATTAATCCCAGTGAGGAAAAGGAAAGAAAGAGGCTGGGAAACCAGTTGGGAGGCTTCTAGAAACAGCACCAGTAAGACGAGGCCAGGGCCTCCATTACCGGCACCGGACCGTGTATCATGAACGCCGTGATGTCACAGGCACTGCTATTCTGTTCCATCCACAGACGAGGCAACGAGGTGCAGAGAGAAGGCCTCATCCACGTTCAAAGAGCTGCCGAGTGTCACTCAGCCCTTGCTCCACCCCCATGACACACCCCCACGGGGACACATGGCATGGCAGGGCCACGGAGCCTCCTGACTGGATCTGCAGGTGCTTTTCCAGAAGCTGCCATGGCTCTGCCTTGCCACCCGCACTCACTGCTGCCTCCACCCCACCCCACCTTGCCCACCTGACGGTAGGATGGCGGCCTTCATTCGGGCCACGGGGAAACTGTGCGAAGAGACCTATAACTTGGCCATGGCTCCTCAGCCCATAGACCAACCCAACTGATCCGTCTTCCATAGACCGTGTAGGTCTCAGTGTGGCCGCTCAGAACCATGAACGAGACAGACATCCCTCTGAAGCCTGACAGTCTCCGCTCCTCCTGGCCGCACGCCACTCAGTTCACAGGGGGAGGGAAACCACAGGGGCCCTGAGCTGAGGAAGGTCCTTCTCACTGCAAGCCAGTCCCGCCTTCCTGCAGATGTGAGACCGCTAGGCCCTCCCCCAGCCAGGCCCTCCCTGTACCCAGTCCCTCCCCTCACCAGGCCCTCCCCTCAGCCAGGTCCTCCCCACACCCAAGCCCTTCCCCTCCCACACCCAGACTCTCCCCACAGCCAGGCCCTCCCCCTCCCACAGCCAGGCTCTCCCCACAGCCAGGCCCTCCCCGCACCCGTCCCTCCCCCTCCCCACAAACAGACCCTCCCTGCACCCGGCCCTCCCCCTCTTCACAAACAGACCCTCCCCACACCCAGCCCTCCCCGCAGTTGACATGCGGACAACCCCGTCAGACAGGCAGCACTTGTAAACGCAGTGAGAGGCGCTCACTCACCTGGCCCTGCTCAGCACAAAGGAGTCTTTGACCATGACCACCGGGCCCAGCTCAGGACACTCGGAGTCGTGGTACTGGCTGCAGTCCTCACACCCTGCAGACAGACGGCCGCATCAGCAGGAGGACCCTGCTCGGCTCCGAGCCCAATGGGGGTGACCGAAGCACTCCCCACAAACAGAGCAGTGCAAACGCAGGACGTGCCCCAGGAGAAGGCCCAGCTCCATGCGCGCGAGTCCCCTCTGTGGTGACGGAGAATAAGAGCTTCCCGAGGAAGGACAGTGAACGAGAAGTCACCCAGTTCGCCTTTCACCACCCACCTACCGCATCGCCAGCCCCTTTCTAGGCCCTGGGGTTACTCTGCTGCACCCCCGCCGCCCCCCGGCGACGTGCGCTTTGCTTAAGGTGACCAGACGTCCCGCTTTTGGCGGGACACTCCCAATTTTTAACAATTTGTCCCGCATCCCAATCGGGACTTTTTTAAAACACCGCAGGATGCGGGACAAATTGTTAAAAATCAGGACTGACCGGCCAAAAGCGGGACGTCTGGTCACCTTAGCTTTGCTGGGAGTTTAGAGGGATGAGCCTGTTGGAGCTACACCCGGCAACACGTGTCTCATGTAATAAATCGTGTTTTTTTAAAGCAAGTCAAGTCATCGCACTGAACAAGAAACGGCTCTTCTGTCCGATAGAGACCAAACGTGGACGTGGCTCTGCCCGGAACGGCTGGCACCACGTCGCCACACGCAGACGTGGCTCTGCCGGACAGCCAGCGCCACGTCACCACACGGCGGGCCCAGGCACTCACAGATGAATATGATCTCCTCGCTGCCATCCTCCGCCATCGCCGGCACCTGTTGGGCAGGAGAGCGAAAGCGTTAGTGACCGGCTTCTGCTGAGGGCCGCCTCCCGCTGGGCTCTAAGGCACAGGCGGGGGGAGGAGGGAGGGAGGGTCCCCTTTACGGTGGGAGGGGGCTGGGCCTTGAGGTGTGTTCTCACCCAACATAACATCGTGTTTAATAAAAGCCATTGAGTTGAATGGCCTCTGCAAGGAGGTCTTCGTGAATTCACACGTCCATCTTTTTACAGTCGCCGTGTTTCCGTGGGTGAAGTAAACACACCACCGTTTGTTAAAAGCCGCTTTCACACGGTCACTTTTTCCTTCCTCACTGGACTGTGACCTCGCCCAGGGCGACCGCTGCCGCCTGGGGCCCAAACCCAGGGGGCCGGTTCTCCCGGAACTAAAGCAACCGGGATCTCCTGCAGGGGGCGCCCCATGCTCCCCCCAAAACCTGTCAGATCCGTCCCTTCCGTTCCCTACTCATCCTCCAGGCACAGCTCAGAGTGACTGGCACAGAGGCAGCTGGGCTCAGGCCCCCACGTTTCAGAGGGACCTGCACCTGTCAGTTCCAGAGCCCGCTTCCGGGCGGAGAAAACGGAACGGGAAGGCTCACCTCGGGCAGCAGTGGGAAGCACGCAGTGCGACCCCAACCCACAGTGATACCCTCTCCCCCCCTCCATCCCGGATAGCAGCCCGGGCACCCTTCCCGCATCCTCCTTGTGGTTGGAGCCTCGCTGCTGTGCATCCCTTTGGGGAAAGGGTGCAGCCTGGCATCTCCTGAAAGCTATCCCACAAGCCCCTGCCCCAGGAGCTTGAAGAACGAAACGCAGACAACGCAGAGTCCAAAGGAAAACTCGATCTGCCGAGCACGCGATTCCGTCGGCAGAGAACAGAACTTGCCTGCGGCCGAGGGAATGGACAAGGGGACAGACAGGCAGGGAGATGGGGCTGCCATTCGCCCCAAAATGCCAACGAAATAACCAGGGGGTGTTTCTTCCCAGCAGTCTCCACTGCCTCCCAGGGCCACGCCCCACCTTCTCCCACCGGGAAGGCGGCTCTCCCTGCTCCACCCTGGCTGGCCCCCACTTTCCACACTGCCGGGGTTCTTGTGGAACAGGGGTCTGGTCGGCAAACCTTGGCTCGCGAGCCACATGCGGCTCTTTGGCCCCTTGAGTGTTCTAACGCCACATCTTCAAAATAGACTCAACCGGGTCGAAAACTGACTTCTGCGCGTGGGCCGCGAAGTTTCAATCGCACTGGACGTGCGCGCCCGCACGTGGTGTTTTGTGGAAGAGCCACACTCCAGGCGCCAAAGAGCCGCACGTGGCTCACGAGCCGCGGTTTGCAGACCACTGCTCTACAACATGAGCCCAATCATATCACTTGCCAACCCAAAGCTTAGCTTCCCACTGTTCCTGGGACCAAACCCAAAGCCCCCAGCCTCCCCTTCACTGGCCCTCTGGGCCACCACGGCCTTGTTTTATTTGTCCCAGCTCCTTCCTGCCTCCAGGCCTCCCCACACGGCTCCTGTGCCTGGACCCCCTCCCCACGGCTGCCGCTGGCCGACGCCTACTCATTCTCCTGTCACTTCTTCTGGTCTCATGGAACTGTCACTTCTGCGGGGAGTGTTTCCGATCCCAATTGGGCCCTTGTTAACACTCCCTGAAAGCGCCCTGCATATTCCCTTCACCGGTTTTCATCGCTGGATCACAAGTGTGTGCTGTTTACCTAGGGCTCTCCCCTCACCGGACCTGGAGGCCACCAGGCGGGAACCAGCAGCAGCACCCGCAGCGCAGGTGGAGACTGCTGGGAAGAAACACACCCTGGTTATTTTGTTGTGGAATAGCTTTCAGGAGGTGCCAGGCTGCACCAGGTGCTAGTGGACTGACCACCTCTCCCGCATGCCAGCCCTCACCCACTCTGCACATGACCCTCCGCGTACAGCAGGGCCCACACAGCTGCTGACTGGTCCGCCAGATAACAAGAGCTGCTCAGAAAGTCTCAAATCCTTCATCTGTACAATGTATGCCACCAAGTTAGACGTTGGTCAGATTAGCAGTGCGATCTGGACATTTTATTCGTTTCTAGTAAAAAGTAATCTTCACTGCCGTGGAAATAAGGTCATTTAAGGGTTCCCCGCTACGCACACTGGGAAGACAGTTTAAAAGGAAACCTGTGCTAATCAACAAATCCTGCAAAGCAATGACGCTCTCCCAGGAAGGGCAGCCTTTCCGGCAAGTGCACCCAGAGAACATTCTATCAGCTCACGTAAGACAGCACCCCTCCCTCCCGCCCAGGCACTCCGGGCCACCCCACCACCAGGCTGCGCTACAGCACTGCCTTCCCTGGGGCAGCAGGGCAGGTGTGAGCCTCCCCCCACGGCTCGCTGCAGGGCAAGGGGCGGTCTGGGCCTCTGGGAGGACACCGAGGGGCAGCTGGGAGGACCCAGACTTGGCCAAACAAATAGGTCCTCATCTTTTGCCTCTGGAAGAAGCGAGCCAACGCCTCTGCTCCCTGGGGAAACCCCACACGTTCAACAAAGAGGGGAAAATCTACAGCAGCGCTTCCCTGAAGGTGAAGGTGGCCCTCCAGGTTCCACAGTGGCCCACCGGCACAGGGTGATCGTGTGCCATCCCGTGCCATCCCTCAGTGACGGCTGTGCTGACCCAAACCTCAGTGGGCGGTACGGGGGCCGGCCCCTCTCCGGGCTGAGAAGTACCCCCCGCAGGACTGAGATGGGAAGAGGCCCCACCGCCACCCGCAGCGTGGAAAGCCCAGAAATCTCATAGACCGTTGCGAGCCTGGCACACATTCTCTGTAAAAGCACGGTGTTTTCCCAGGACGCCAGCCACGGGGAGTTCCAAGGCCTGCGCTCACCCAGCAGCGGCCTGAGAAGCCGAAGAACAACCCCTTATCCCAGCGCAGACCTCGCACCCAGGCCCCGGCAGACAGGGCCGAGCCAGCGTCCGGGAGGGCGAAGGAAGCCCGGGCCCGCTCGACGGCAGAATGTGCACAGGCCATTTTTAAAAGATCATTTAAGCCCTAACTGGTTTGGCTCAGTGGATAGAGCGTCGGCCTATGGACTGAAAGCTCCCAGGTTCGATTCCGGTCAAGGGCATGTACTTTGGTGGCAGGCACATCTCCGGTAGGGGGTGTGCAGGAGGCAGCTGGTTGATGTTTCTCTCTCATCGATGTTTCTAGCTCTCTATCCCTCTCCCTTCCTTTCTGTAAAGAAGCAATAAAATATATTTTAAAAATAATAATAATAAATAAGTAAGATCATTTAATGGGCATGTGACTACTCTAGTCCCTCTGGTACTTGTCTTTCTGAGACTGGCTTATTTCACTGGGCATCATGTCCTCAAGGTTCATTCACGCTGCAGCGTGTGCCAGAAAGTCCTTCCTTTTTCTTTTTCTTTTTCAAAAAATGCATTTTATTGATTGTTTTACAGAGAGGAAGGGAGAGGGATAGAGAGCTAGAAACATTGATGAGAGAGAAACATCAGTCTGCTGCCTCCTGCACACCCCCCACTGGGGATGTGCCCGCAACCAAGGTACATGCCCTTGTCTGGAATAGAAACTGGGACCTTTCAGACCATAGGCCGACGCGCTATCCACTGAGCCAGACCAGGTAGGGCCGTCCTTCCTTTTTAAGGCTGAGTCACGTTCCATTGTCGGGATGGAGCACAGTTTATCTGTCCTCTGTGGCTGGCCCCGGGATTGCTCCTGACTGCTGCTGGGGACGGGCGTGCACGCACACCTCTGTGAGCGCCCGCCTGCAGTCTGTGGGTGCACGCTCAGAGGGGGGCTGCGGTCAGAGGGCAGCTCTGCGTTTGGCTTTTGGAGGACCCTCCGTGCTGTCTTCCATGCGGTTCCCTCACTCGCCAGCCCAACAACAGCGCCCCGGGGGCCCCAGTTCTCCACCTCCTCTCCACACGTGTTAGCTCCTCATTTTTTAAAAAAACAGTAGCCATCCGAATGGACGGGAGGTGGCAAAAGATTACTTTTTAACGTGATCTACAGGGGCTGGTTTTTAGAAAAGACAATTGGCGTTGAGACGCTGGAAAGTGAAAACTCCCTCATTTTAAAACACAGGCAGCTAATAGTAAGGACAGAAACCAGTATTTTCCAGGAGGCTGCTGTGTGAGTGACACGAAGGTCCTTTCCTTTGTGAGCTGGCGGAGACGTCCCGGGCCACCCCTGCCCACGTACATGCCACAGGCAGGCAGAGGAGGGCCACGGGGCTGCATCCTGACATGTTCTACCGCCTGGCTGGCGGACCAGAGCCTTTTCGGGGTGCAGAGCAGCACTCCCCGGGAGAAGTGCAAGGTGAGCCACACAGGGAAGATTGGCCTGGCTGTTATTACGTTTTGAAATATTACAGATTCACAGGAAGTTTCAAAAATAGCACCGAGAGGTCCCATGTGCCTTTCACTCCCTTTTTCCCGAGGCTTGTGCTTACGTAACTATGTGTATAACACGGAAACGCTTACATAAGGGCAGCACCAGGAACGGGGCGCCATCAACACCAGGAACACTGGCCTTGGCCCGGCGCATGTGCACCTGCTTCTGAGGATTTTATCGCAGTGCAGGCTCACGCGACCAGCACTGCCGTCCGGATTCAGGACTGTCCTCCTGCTGGGAGGACCTCGATCTGTGTCGCCTTTAGTCACCTCCTGTTCCCCGCCTCTTCTGACTCCATCGGTCGTCATGTTTCAGTTCAGGCATGCCATTGAAATGGACCCATACAGTGTGCGACCTTTAAAAACTATTTTTTTTGGTTTGTTTTTTTAACTCAGCAAAATGCCCTTCAGACCACGCAGGCTGATGTGTGTCTGAAGAGTCCGTTCCTTTTCGCTGCTGGATAATATTCCACAGCCCAGCCACTGCCCCACTGAGGACACAGGACCTCCCCCCGGTTCTGTCTGCTATAAATAAAGCCTCTACAACAACCGTGCATAGGGTTTCCTGTGGACATAAGTGGTCATCCCTCTGGGGAAATGC